ATTACAATAGGAGGTACTACAGGACCATGTGTCCATTGTAATGGATCTTGTCCACTATGTATAGCTTTTGTGGCAAAACCTTTCTCCATTGGAATTCTATTAAACACAATTTGTTTTACATATCTATTGCACCACTTAATAAAAACTAATTCACAGTGAAATGCAATAATCTTTATTAATTAAAATACATTTTGAAATAATTTAGTTCTATGGCAATTAGTAAGTGCAGCATATTGCTATCATGAAAAAAATTACATCATAATTGTTCACATGCTGATAAAGAGTTCACATAAAATAAAAATAAATTTTTTAATCGATATATTTATTTGCAATTATTGAGAAACGAAATTTACTTACCTAAATTACGAATTTTCAATCAGAAAAAAAGTATGTATATTATAACACAAATGTAACAAATTGCACAAACTGATTAATAATTATATGACTCCAAATTTTAGCAACACGTGCTCTTCTCGTGCTCTGCTCTTTAATGCTACAATGACGATTCCATTTATGGCAGTGGCTATTATCAATTTAAGTACCACACACATGCTTAAGAGAACATGTAACACATTGCAGCGACCCATTGGTTATCGCCGCTAACCGAATTCGCTTATTGCTTGTTGTCTTCCATGAAAATTTTTGTTCATTTCATCAGTTTGTAATATCGAAGTGTATTGCATTATTGAGATATCGTTATGACAATTTAAATATTATAAAGTAGAAATAAAAATTGCCTATTTAACAAACAATAATGGTTTCATGTTTCTTCTTTAAATTTTTTGGTTGATATTTTTAGAAAATAATACAAAATAATGTATGCACAAAAATGATAAATAATTATTGTAATAGTTCAAAATCAATTTTTATAAACACTGTGATAATAATTTCATTTTTCCATTCATAAGTACAATTTACAAATTTTCAAAACCACCGTTTATTTTATTAGGGTCTTTTTCAGAATATTAAAGTTCATTCAATATTTAAAAGTAGAGTTTGTAACAATTCATTGTTTCTTTTGTAATAAAATGTGACATAATTTGACATTCGTAGAATCAATTTATACATAATAGAGAGTTCTAAAACAAGACATATTTAATAATACTTTTTTTACTTGTAATTCAATTAAAATATTGAAAATATCAAAATCTAGAAGACGATATACACTCATAGTTTCAAAAGACAGCATTGGTCTGTTCTTATAGACGACGAACATGTCGACCAATGCGATGCATTCCCACCATAATTAAATCGATATTTACTTGATTATTCGGCGAGCTATCAACCTTCCGCGAGTGAAGTTTCTTCGTCTAACGAATTATTTTGATTGATATACTAAACACCATTTTTGAAAAAAGTAACGCTGTGAAATGAAAAAAGGAAAGAAAATTGTTATTTCGTTTTTATTGTTATTTTTTATAAATGTTGTACGTAGTGATATGTTTTATAGTCTCGTAAATCGAGAGGATCCTTGTATTAATTTGTGTGAAAAAACACCGTTATCTTTCACAAATGTACATATTACATTAGCAAACACATCTCTATAAATTACATATCATAAACAAACAAATTAATGATGGAAATGACGTTTACATTCTAGAGTAAATATGTCAAGTCATGCTGTCAACGAGGATGTAGATTCTTCAATTTAGTAGACTTACATTATGGATTAGAACCAAACAGCTTAAATGGTACCAGAGATGCCTGTGAAGCTTGTGTGTAAAACATATTTTAATGATTATTATAGTATTTAACTTAAAACTAAAAGTTCTTTTAATTATAAAGTAAATATTTTATTAAATACCTTCAGAAATAAATGTTAATGTATCTTTATTTTGTTGTAGCATGTACAGAAGCATACACAGCACCACAAGATCGCTATGCATGTAGCACTGGTTGTGGTTTCATGGCCAAACAGCGTGTTTCAGATTTATTATCACTTTTTTCTGTTGCCGTCTATGTAGAAGAAGGAGTAGACCCTAACATACTTTTAATGTCACCTGATATACCTGAAAATGACATTTTAAGTGATCCAGGTCTGCGAAAGGAACTTCTTCCAGGATGGTGGGATTTCAATGGATTTAAATTGCCACAAACATATATTAAAACTGTTCCATTAGATGCTGGGGTAAGTTTTTCATTATACATTTTGAAATAAAAATGTTGATAATATAATTTCTATTATTTGACAAATATTTAACAAAAAATGTAAAATTTTGTT